TCTTGTGAGTAAAATAACAACTATGGAAGCGATTGCGTCAGTTTTTGTACGAATGTTATATTCATATGATGAGGATTTTATCCTTGAAATCGTTGTCCTTTGACGTCAATTAAATTGATATATATGAGGTTAATTACATACATCAAATGGGAAATTTATTTTTGATAAGCTGTCACTGTTGAATGCTGAATATCAAACAGCACTTCGTCGAGATCACACGTCGCAAAAACTCACACGCAACATTCATTTTGTTATCAAAGCCTTTTGTATTTATTGCATATTGCGTTTTAATTAGTTAACTTTCTATTACAATTATTTTGACTTAATCATTAAGTTATTATTTTAATGTTGACATTTTGTAAGAGGTACCGAGTTACGCAGCCTCCGACTTCTGCCGGAAATGCGAACAATGAACGATTTGTGCTGTCAGTTTACACTGACGTAACGCTTATGCAGAAACTTAGATGGATGGATGTTTATTGTTTATTGGTAGGTATCTCCAGAACAGCTGCATGGATGTCACTGATATTTAGCATAAATGTATTACATAGTCTGGTGGAACATATAGAATACTTGTTACGTTTTTTTTCAATTCCGCGCGAATGGAGCCACGGTCGAGTACTAGTCTTACATAATGTTAGGATAGCATTAATAATGCGCGGAAGCCTCAGGGGTTTTACGTCACATAGCTTGATGAAATAGACTTGGCATTTCTTCTGCTTAGGTTCAAATGTCAGGCTTTCGCTTGCTTTGTGTGTGTGAGGTGGCTAGTTTGAGGTACTCTGAGGTGCCGAGGTCAATTATGAATATGTAAAAAGGTGTAGAAGTTCAAAGAAGTTTTAATTCTTCTTTAAAATCGTGTCGATTTAACACAATCAATGCAAAAATAGACAAATATTTAACAGGTACACTAAGATATAAAAATATATTTTGTAGCATTTTTATTCAAATTTTATTATAATTATTAAAACACGATTGGAATCAATTTATAAATTTATTTCTTACAATCTGACTTTAATTGTTATTGATTTGAAAAATGAGAAAGGTAATCGTTGCTTCAGGTAAGAGGTCAGATGTTTCAAAAACAAGTTATACGTCATATACATATTGCTTTCATTTAACAAATTGCCAATTTGTTTGGTTCTTAGTTTTGCAATCTGTCTGACCGGTGATGACATATTGAGAGATGGCCGAGCAATTTTTGCACTCTCTCGAAGTAGTCATTGAAATGAAGGTTATTGTTGTATTTTAGTTTTTTTTTTAAATATATATTTATTTTCGTTATTAAAATATAAGGAAAACACAAAATACTTTTGGTCCCTTTGTGATATTTGTTATGTAAAACTTGATAATTTTATTTTTAACGTACGTCACCTGTTCTTGGGGAAACACACAACATTACTGTGATAAAATAATTTACAATATTCAATGATGTCATCAAAAGTTATTTGATATTGAATTTCGTCCAGTTCCAAAGAAACTGACACTGTGTTATCTCTCATAAATATGAATCTATTAACTTACGTAGAATTGTCATCTTACTAATATTATAAATGCGAATGTTTAGATGGATGGATGAATGGTTTGTTTGAAGATATCTCCAAAACGGCTCAACGGATCTTGATGAAATTTGGCATACATATAGTACATAGTCTGGAAGAACACATAGGCTACTAACTATGTTATTTAGGCTACTAACTATGTTATTTTTTATTCCACGCGGACGGAGTCGCGCGACAACTATTTTCTTAATATAAGAAATTATAGTCTTAGTTTAGAAAAGTAAATTAAAAACAGATATATCCGGTATTTGACGTGTGTCTCTCTTTTGGGTTAAATGTAACAGACATTTATTAAGATAGTTTTGTTAATAGTTCGTCCAAAGTAACAGATGTATTAAAAGGATTCCCCAGTTTTATTTTTCCGCCCACTACAAGTTGCGATGAGATTATCATTTAGGTTTCATTGGTCAGTGACAGGGTGACCCTGACCCCGATATATTGAGCATTCATTGCATTATTTATCTTAATTTAATTTGGTAATTTTTTAGCATATTTGGGTGTAGTTGAATTAATACATATGTTAAGCTTAAATCTATTTTAAGGGAGTTTATATTGCGACTCAGATATGTATTGACTTATAGTTGTTAATATTTTTGTACTGGGATTTAAATAAAAAACCTTTGTTTGCAGAAAAATGTGTTAATATTGTAGAACATGAATAACACAAAGACATAGAAAACTGATTTGACATTACTAAATTCAAAAGTTTAATTTCTTCTTTTTTCTTTGATTTAATGACAGCTATAGTGTAAAAACTCCTTGAACAATTTTTTATAGATCTACTTAATCCGATGATATTTTCCAAGTGATCTTTTTTATGTATAGTTAATTTGTAACGCATATGTTTAACATTAGTAAATAATCAACCGGATATATCAGTTACTAACTGCTACATGACTTTAGCGTTAAAATGATGAAGCTGACTGCGAAGAGTTACTGAGACTTCTGAGACTGCGGTCAGTTAGTTCAAAGAAGTCTACATTTGGCGGTCCCTTGGAATTACAATAAAGTATTAAATTATTTAAACTTTCGCAAGATATTATTATAAACAAACATATAAACAGCAAAACACTCGGGTATTTGTCCGGTGTCACCGATTAGTTTCGAGACCATCAGGGATTTTTTTTAGGGTGAATAGGATTGGTATTACGATGCCCGTTTCTCAAGTGCGTTCTGAAGGGTTCAAAACTAGTCGGTGCCGACACCGGACAAAGTATTTAGCCGTTAATATATTAGTTTACAATGAAGTAATAAATTATTCGGAAGACACAAGTTTGTTGCATAAATGTTGAAGTTGAAGGTCACCGGCGAGGAATAGCCGGCGCGGCAACCGGTATGACTACGGTGCTATGGCTGGCACCCGGCGACGTTTGTTATAATTATGAATTACATAAATATAGCTTACTTTAGTTGAATAATTGTTTTACTATCTTGTTAATGCTTTGATTTATCGGTATTATTTTTAATTTTTAAAAATTATTGTTAAAAATATACTTGATTTAGTGAATAAAGTTACATTTTTTAGACGCAGTCTTTTCTCCAAATAAATTAAAATCTAATGCAATTTTGTAAATACAATACAAATGAAAATCGTATTAGTCATACAGACAGTCACACGAACATCTGTATGTGTAGTTCGTCTTCACACCGACGACACAAACTATAATTTAACGTTGATGTACCAAATAATAATTTATTCAATGATATTGAACTTGTTTGGAAATATCTTAAAAAGGAATATCAAATAAAGCACGCATTTTATTTGGAACATATCTCATGATATATGATGATGCAAATGATAACCTAAAATAGACCGCAAAATTAAACAGTTAAGTACGAAAATTGCTTAACCGGACAAATCATGGAACATGTTAGGATCACGTGTGTGTAGGATGATAATGCAATGTCTTCTCCCGAAACTAGAGAACTTTTATATTATTTCTTGAAATATAACAATTTCATATTTATGATATCTATTTATTCTAATTATTTACTAAATGATTGAAATAATACAATTACTTGTAGCAAAATATTCATCTATACCAATGTTTTTGGGTAAAGTGCTTTGGAGCTTATTAAAAATTTAGCTAATATTAGAAATATAGGAAAGATTAACTATTATACCGATTTGAAAAAAACTTTCACTGTTGGAAAGCCCGAGATACATAGGCTACTAGAATTTTTCTTAATTAGGCGCGAATGAAATCGCGGACAATTGCTAGTATATTGTAAATAGAAAATTAAACAGGCAAATAATACTAGTGTTTTATATTTTACAGTAACCATTTAAGGACAAGTTAGTGGAATTCCGTACATAATTGTTAAGACGGATGCGGTGATTCTTCTCTGGTCAACATCTGACCCGTGTTGGCCTCCGCGCGTTTAGTCACACACAATAAATATTATTGGTATTCTTATTTTAATATCTTATTAATATGCATATCAAATCAAAATATCAAATCGTAGCACGCTCTATTCTATTTTACTTCAATATTCCGTGCCTCCGTCCGAGCGGAATTGAAAAGAACAACTTAATTAGTGGCCTATGTGTTCTTCCATTTCAGCGAGGTCCATTTAGTAGTACTGGATATAAGTAATAACAAATATCCATCCATATAAACTTTCGCATTTATTATATTAGTAAGATATAATACATATTAGTAAGATATAATAGATATAATCAAAGAAAGCACACCATATGATTTCTGAGTGCTCTCTCTAAACATCTTGTGTGTAAAGAAAAATAACGTTCTAAAAACAGTAACCATCCTTATATTTTTTACTTAAAATAAAATTAACCATTTTACCGAAAGTTAAATGTCTAATAGAACCACATGTTTTAACTCAATTAGTTTTAAATATGCTGAAGTGACCAAATCTTTTTTTCAATACTTTTTTTTTAAATACCATATGTAATAATAGTAATGACAACCTATGTGTTTGTTCGTCCCAACTTCACACTTAAGTATAATTTTTACATGCTTTCAGAGCTCATGTAGCAAGACTTGTGTGTGAAAAATTTTAGTGCGAACCGGCGAATAACATGTCAGATCGTATTGTGGTTAAATTTATCACATTCAAAAGTTTATGACCACTTGAACGGCCTGGGATTATCCTCGAAGCTCTAACACACAATTAATTCGGAAGTATGCTGTCATCAGCTGGACATCCTGATTGATGCATGTCAACAAAAAAGGACAGAAATAATCAACAGGAAAGGTGTAGTATTTCACCAAGACAATACGCGATCTCACACGTTTGGTCACTCGCCATTGTCATTCATTTCTACAAAAAAAAAAAGAAAAAACAAAATTACTTTCCGAACAACTCATTAATAATATTGTAATTTTTTTATAGTAAGAACACTAAGACCCAAGGGGCGTAAAACTTGCGTTCTCTGCCGTGCTGAAAGCGTAGGTCGAAATGGCACAGGTCGCGGCGCGGCCCGCGCACTATAAATACGCATCGCAGCACCAACAAATCGTCAGTCGCTCAGCTGCCTTCTCATCACCCTCAAACAAAACAACTAACTCAACAAAATGAAACTGGTACGTTGCCGTGAGCCTCGCGATGGATTGCGCATTACCCGATGCGGAATCAATTTGAACAGTGGAAATATAAATATCATTCCTAATAATTATTAAATCTACGGGAGTCTTACATTTATCTGTAACTTATCACATTTTCTTGATTATATTAACGTATTATTTATTGTGTGCATGCAGTTCATTGTCGCCGCTCTGTTCGTTGCCGCCGCCATGGCCGCGCCCGCCACACCCGATGGCGCCGCACAGATCGTCACCCAAAACACCGACAACATCGGCACAGGACCCTACCAATACGAGTGAGTTACCTCATTAACCAAGTTCAGTGTACAACTAAACTTTATAGCCAATTATAGGGGCAAAACTTATATTACTTCAATTTCTTTACCAGAATTGAGACATCGAACGGCATCGTCATCAGAGAACAGGGACAGCTGAAGAACGCCGGCACTGACAACGAAGCGCTTGAGGTACAGGGCCAGTACTCTTACCCCGGCGACGACGGCATCGTCTACACCGTCACCTACATCGCTAACGAGTTAGGCTTCCAGCCCCAGGGCGCCCACATTCCCCAGGCACAATAAATAGCTCTAGTATAACTAATTATCTAGTCCAAAAAATACTCAACTTTCCAACCCCTTCCTTGTAGTACTATAGAGAAATCGTATAGAGCGATTCTGTGATACAAACATGATACAAATAATGTTAATAAAGATTAAATGTACAATAGTTTATACAATGTATTTCATTTTCTTTAAATCTCGATCGAAAAACATATTGAAATGGAGGCACCTTCAAGAAATGCTAATCGCACAACAACGCTGTTGAATCTGTCATTTCACAATTCCTCTTAAAGGTTATTCAATAAAAATATTTAAAAACGGTTTAACCCAATGTCAGTATTTGCCTAAAACTTTACATGGATTTTATCAATTTGTAGGATTCCAACATGATCTGGAAGTCTACGACGACTATTATTTGCCAATAAATATTCTAATTTAACGTGTTTACCAAATTATTCACAGTTGGATGTAAACCGGTACAAAAGAACATTTAAATATGATAATTTAAAGACATATTAACCTCTAAAGTTATTTACAAGTCGCCCGGCATCCAATAATCATTATAAAGAGGATGGCAGTTATCCTTGGAATCCTAAATGTGAATTCATTTTAGAGGAAAACTTTGGACTGTTACATCATTGACTAAAGATAAAACTATTGTTAATTATTATATATTTTTGTATCTTATATTCAATATTTTAAGAACGCCAAATAATATAGTCATTTACCGTACACTTTCCTGTCTAGTCTTAACACTTTTATTCACACTTAGATTATCGTAGTGATATACTCCATATTACTCACAGATATTACGAGGTTTTTCAAAATTCCCTGCAAGCAATTTGCTGTTGTATAAGTATGAATATTTTGGAAAACTGAACTCATTTCAATAGTATGATAGAAAAAAATAATTATGTTTACATATACAATTTGACTATGAAAGATTGTTCATGGGTGTGGTTTGTTTTGGAATGATCCTCGCGCAATGAGCATACTGTATCGCGACTATTTTGTTCTAGAAGACAATTAAAAAATATACTAATTGAATGATAACATTTAAATGGTTAAATTCTAGTGAGTATCTCATGTATGTAAATGGTGATTCTCGTCACATCACGTCGCTGTGTCGTGTTTTGTTTTTAAATAGGATATTTGTTTGAAGAACTTGATTCACAGGTTAAAATAGAATATGGTTCAACAAACTGTTCAAGATCAACAAATCAGGAAAAGTAATCTCACATTGTTGTAGGACTATTAAATAACATGTATATCTTGGTGTCTTTAATAGTGTTAATATAGTAAACTAGCTGTAAAAAACTTAATAAGTAGTCCAGGTGTTCTTCCAGACTATGTTCTACACCAAGTTTCAGCAAGATACATCTGTTCTGAAGATACCTTGTAGCTAACATTCATCCAAACATTCGTATTTATAACATTAGTAATTAATAAACGAAAAGTACAATATATAAGTAAATTTCAAGTCGATCTATATAAAAGAAAGTCGTGTTAGTTACACTATTTATAACTCAAGAACGGCTTTACCGATTTGACTGAAAATTGGGGAGGAGGTAGCTTAGAGCCACGAGACGGATATAGGATACTATTTATTCATGTTTTTTTCGAATTTATGCCTTGAATAACTGCTTTTTATGTAACTTACTAATATTATAAATGCGAATGTTTAGATGGATCTGATGTGGATGGATGGATGGTTGTTTGAAGATATCTCTAGACCGGCTGAACGGATCTCGATTAAATTTGGCATACGTTTAGAACATAGTATGAGAGAACACATAGGCTACACTAATTAAGTTTTTTTTATATATCCACGCGGACAGAGTCGCGGGCAACAGCTAGTCAACATCAATAAAACAGAATTCCATCTTGAAATTAATGTAATTGATAATGATTAATTTTTTAATGAAGTTCCGAATAAAAGTCGAATAAAAATAATAAAACTGCGACTATTATAATAACTATGAACCAGTTTCAGATGCGCTCCTCTAATTCTGATGACATTTACAATCGACCTTGAGATTATTGATCATTCTAGATTAATTAGTTGGAAGTTCATCGGCTATTGGATTCAATAGAATTCTAATAATGCAAAAAGCAATAAAGAAAAATGCAGCCGGAGTTAAAGAACGGGATTTTATTTCCTATAATACAGTATAATATACATCAAATTAATGATGGAGTTTGATATTATTTAAAAAAAAACAACGGTAGAAATAGTAAATTGAATTTATAATAAAAAATATTTTACAATATAGACAATGTATAAAATTTACGGGATTCTTGCAACGATTGAGCTTTACAAGTTTTTTAAAGCGTCGAACTTCAACTGTATTTTATACGAGTGACACAAAATAGCTGTTTAATTATAACAAGGTAACGCATTACCTGTAGATGTCAATTTAGACATGGATTTTATAATATATTACTTAGAAGTGGTATATACAGCATTGAGAATTTGTACATTCTTCTTTGAATGGTTATACGTGGTTACGAAAGATTCAATAAATATTATAATATTATAAAATTAAAGTTAATCAGTAATATTATAGAAAAAGTGAGAGGAGAGTGACTTTATTGTAGGATCGATGTTGTATGTGAGTGTAACCCGCCGCGGCCGGCCTTCACCTTGTTGCGTAACTTTTGCCATGGTTAGGCTCAAAACGCAATGTTAATTAAAGTTAATTAAGTGATTTTTAACACGTCTTATTAATAGGATATTAACTGACTTTTTTTTTATATCATAAGGTGGCAAACGAGCGAGCGGCCACCTGAAATCGCTGATATAGCGAAGTGACCGTTGCCCATAGACATACGCGATTGCATATGCGTTGCCTACCCTTAATAGACGGAGGAGAGGATGCACAGAAAGAAAATGTATTCCCTTTCCATGCATCCTCTCATCCGGAAAGTCCACTTCCACTTCCCATTCTTTCATTATAAGAAAAAAGATGGGAAGGGAAAGAGCATTAAATTAGGCCTCCGGGACGCACACTCATCAGACGAAACGCGGAATTGATTCCACTTCACGCCTGTCTTCGGTGTGGTCGTGGTATTTCACCGGGCGAACCAGGCCAATAGGTGCGAAGATGTTAAAGCGGGCTCTACCACTGTTGAATATTTATTTACGTATAAAGTTTTGTTCTCATTTATTGTAATAAAAGTAACTACAAAAATGATTAACAAAAATTAAGATATTTTTTATTACAGCTACCAGCAGTTTATGTTAAACTCTTTCCTCGTACCTACAGTACTAATACAAATCCAAATAAATTATAAAAATGAACAAAAATATAATGTATTGAGATGTTTAAAACGGATTGTAGAGTAAAGATCAGATAATATAATATGAAACGAAACAATCGTTTGTATTCGGACGCGACAAGTTTAAAAAAATTATATTATTCGGTGTATACTCAACCTTAACCTTATTTAAACGCAGCCTTAATTTGCACTGGCATTCTTAGCCCTGTGACGTGATTACGAAGCTCCGTGCGTTCGCAACCTTACTTTTGACTGATATAAACTTTTGATAAATTTACGGCATAAAGTAAAATAAAGTTTAAGTCATAGGCGATGAACGAAGAGCATATTGATTTAAGTATTTTAAGTAAGATTTTCTATTACAATTTTCCCAAAACAAAACTCACATAATGATTTAAAATGCAAAATTGTAAATAAAACGTACGTGCACGATACTTGAAAAAAAAATTATTTCCAATAAAACATAACGATTAAATAAAATTACAATAAGCTTG